CAGGCCTGGACGCGAGGCCACCTGACACAATGTTTTCTAGATGATTCCCCCTCCCATGTTTTTCCTTTGGCATTTGTATGTTTGAATACAGAACAAACTGTGTGCTGGGGTGAGGGGGTGGGAAGAAGCTTGCAGCAGAAGCCTGATGCTGCAGTGGGGGGGCGGGAGGGCAGAGGAAGGAAGCCAGGGCGAGCGTTCTCTCTCCCCATGGGTGTTCGTGAGATCGCACTGGGGTGGTTTCCTGGTGGTGACTCGTGGGGGCTTTCACAGAGGGCAGGGTAAATTTGCCTTCACCCTGGGGGCAGAATTCAGCCAACGCTGGGCACATTGCAAATTCCTCTTCCCGCCTGCCAGCTGTCAGGCAGAGTCATGTATGGGCCTTTTCGTCTGTCTCTGCAGTTTCCAACCACTAAGTCACGACTCGCATCTCTGACTTTTTGAATAAGCCTGGCTTTCCTCTCCTGCGCTTTTCCAGAAAATCCTCTTCGAATTGGGCCTGAGACTTTTTGATGCCATCTTCGTCAGTTACCTGCCCTCCTCCTGCCTGTCTCTCTCACAGACACCTCACTCCAAGGTCAGAATAAAAACCCTTGCGAGAGGCTGGCCTTAGCCAGCGTCCAGCCAGCCCAGGGCTCTTAAAACTAAAGGTGTCTGCTGCCACCTGCAGCCAGAAACAGGAACGCTTCACAGACCGGACTTGGCCGGAGCACAGAGCGCCAGGCCTGCCGAGCGCATGGGCTGCAGGCAGCAAGCGGCAGGGCCCCTGCCCTCCGCCGGCCTCTGTGGTTCAGCCCAGGGGAAGGCGTCTCCCAAACACGGCCTCCTGAGTCTCCTCCAGCGAGTGTCCGTCTGAGGCGTCACAATTCCCCTTCTCCCTCAAGATGTCAGGAAAGGGGAGAATTCTTGCCCCCCCCCTTACCCTTATTTGGTGCTTACCGCTTGACTAATAATGAAATAATAAAATTGACACAAGATTAGATTAACGGGAAGAGAAAATTTAAGACTGTGCACGGGAAAACCACAATGTGATGCTCGGCTCATACAATGAGGCTCAGTGCTCGAACTGGCCGCCTTTTTGTGCTGAAGCGTCGCTGTAAACTCCTTGACTCTGGATCTCTGAGCGTCAGTGTAAGCGTGTCTCTCTCAGGCCTCTTGGAGCAGCGAGGACACCTGTCACTTGGGAGACTGATTTCCTGCAAGCAAGGAGACAAGGGAGGGTCAAGGTGGCCTTCTGGCACCCGCTGGTTATCAAGTAACCTTCATTGAAAGTAACCAATATGGCATTGTGGGACATTTGGGGGTGGCCCGTCTTGGGCCCTAACAAGGGCTACCACCCGGCTGAGAGCCTGGCCAAGCTGCCTGGTGCCCGGCTGTGGCGTGTGGACCAGCGTGTTTTAGTTCCAAAGTTCTCAGGGGACAGCCGCTTCTCGCAGGCAACGTCAGCTGGCTTCACCTCCTGTGAAGTTGACCCCCGCTGCTCCTCTCACAAAAGCCGCCCCTCCTTTCTGGGAAGAATTCTGACAGTGTGGAGTCAGAAGGGACACGGGTTGGAGACGGGGGCTGGTTTCTAATCTGAGGTGACTCTAGTGACTCTGAACAGTCCCTTGGGCTGGTCTGTGAGACCAGCTTTGAGCCGAGGGTTCTTGCGACATGACTTTTAATGGACATCCACGTTCAGTCTTTTATTTTCAACACTCACGGCAGCTCCATGTAAAAGAACAAACCTTGAGAGGGGCTAGCAGGCACCCCGAGAATCAAGTCACTCCTTTGGATGGTATCACACTTCATTTACTCTGAACAGAAACCCCTCTGTCTTCCCAGAGCCCCCCACTCAACCCTGAGTTCAGAACTCCCACTGGGTCACCTCCGAAGTCAGGGTGTTTGTGGATCTGCTTTTGTAACAGGCAACCAGCAATGTCCCGAGAGGGCCGGCTGGGGGTGGGGAGCCAAAACCCTGGAACCTTTTTCTCTGCCATGGACATGTTCCTTGTGCTTCAACTTTCTGGAGGCCCCTGAGCACGGACTTGAATGATTCGGGGGTCTCCTGTGTTCGCACAGGTCACCTACTAGCCTTAGAAGAGTTCCTGAAAAGTTTGGTGCCAATCAAATCTGTTCTTTGTTGTTGGGGTTTTGGTTTTTTTTCCAAGTACACTAGCTAAGATGTTGGCTATCTAAACTAGGAATGCAAGAATCCTTGGAATCCAGCCCTGGCTGGCGTAGCTCGGTGGACTGAGCGCAGGCTGCAAACCAAAGTGTCACAGGTTCCATTCCCAGTCAAGGCACATGCCTGGGTTGCAGGCCATGACCCCCAGCAACCGCACATTGATGTTTCTCTCTCTCTTTCTCCCTCCCTTCCCTCTCTAAAAAATAAATAAATAAAATCTTTTAAAAAAAAAAAGAATCCTCGGAATCCTTGAGCAACATGCATAAGTATACACCCTCTACTGTCTAAAAGAGATTTTCCAAAATTGGGCTTTCCCAAAGAAGAGCACATGGTAGGCAGACTCAGGCCAAATGGACAGGATTCGAGAAGGCTGGTGTTGCAAACAAGTTTCCCAGAGAGGTCTGAGGTGGCTTGCGGTAGAGCAGTAACGTGTTCCTGCTGCACAGCACTCAGCCCGGGAGCTCAGAGGGGGAGGCCTGCCCGGGCCCCTTTGGGGCGCTGGGAAATCCCACATCTCTGTGTCACCAGGAGTAAGAGCTACTCTGTCACAGATGAAGGGCTGTAAAAATTATCCTAAGCTTTGCATGAAATTAGGTGCAGCATTGCTTCTTCACCCAGGAATCGCACCGCCTACTCCTGGATTACGTGCGTGTTCAGGCAGGCCTTGAATAAAAATGCCCCCCCCCACCCCCTGCCGAGTATGAGGGGTCTTCAGGACTGAGAGACCCAGAGACTCCCCAGACAGATGAGACCTGGGAGTAGGGGCCCACGGCCAGCACCCCACTCCAGACAGAAGCAAAGCCTCCCCTTGGCTTTAAAATGACCTCAAGGCATGAGTCATTCTATCACCATGGCTGACTGGCTGGAGAGGAACCGAGAAAATGAAAATATGTTGCTCATTAGCAAAGGGAAATACAACGAAGTTGAGAGTCCCTTCTTGTCAGAGCCACACTCTGCTGCTTTGGTCTGTGAAGCAGAGCATTCCTCATATCTGCTTTAAGCTTCATGCCGAGAGAAAATTAATTTCTAGCTGTTGACTTATCACTGAGGAGCTCGGTGGTACACTAGAAATTAGAAATGAGGGGCTTTAGAAAACAGAGCAATTTTTTTTGGCACTGACGACTTTAACCAGCGTTAGGCCCACTTTGCGATTTCCTCCTCTTTACGGGCTCACTTTCTACAGAGGGCCTCTGCACAACAGCGTGACAGTTCGGGACACGCCGGAGACCAGATGGCTCTCTTTGCAGGGACCGCCCTCAGTGGGGTGTTTAGCAGCACCCCTGGCCTCTCCAACTGTGGGTACCAACAGCACTCCCCCACCACCGTGTGACAACCCAAAATGTCTCCAGACGTCGCCAAAGGACACAAAATTGCATGCGTGCACACACACACACTTTCTATTCTATAGGAGAGAGGCAGCATAAAATAACATTTGTCCTAAGAACTTATATGCATGACCCATGGACATGAACAATGGTGGGGAGATGCCTGAGGGAGTAGGGGGTGCTGGATGGAAGGGGGCACAGCGGGAAAAAAAACAAGACAACTGTAATACTGTAATAGCATAATCAAAAATAAAATATAATTAAAACAAAAAATTAATTTTTGTCCTAAATTAGTTGTGCTTTTAAAATAGGTCCTAAGATTTTTACATACATTTAATACACTTTGAACACCTGTGAGTGAATAGGAATTTGTCTCTTTGAGTGCCCTTCACCGGAACTGAGAATCTCTCTACCCTCTTCCACGCTGCTCTCCCCTCGTGTTCATATGTTGCTAATCATTTCCCTGACCTGTTAATTCAATAATAGATTATTAATGTATTTTTCTCATTCATTCACTCATTCGCTCCTTCGTGCAACAAGAGACTTAGCGAGTGAGTCCTCGCCACACGCCCAGTGGTCACCAAGCACCACCTTGTCACCAGGATCCTTACACATCTGGTATCACATCCACCTTCCTCAGCTTGTTTGGGACAAGGGCTCCCATTTCAAGAAGTCAAAACTGAAGCCCTGGCTGGCGTAGCTCAGTGGATTGAGCACGGGCTGCAAACCAAAGCATTGTAGGTTCGATTCCCAGTCAGGGCACATGCCTGGGTTGCAGGCCACAGCTCCCAGCAACCGCACATTGGTGTTTCTCTCGCTCTCTCTTTCTCCCTCCCTTCCCTCTCTAAAAATAAATAAATAAAGTCTTAAAACAAAAAAAGAAGGCAAAACTGCATCTGACACAAAGGAGCCTGGTCTCTGGAGCCAGACAGACTTAGGTTCAAATCCCACTTCTGCTGCTCACAAGCTGGGTAGCCTTGGGCTAATTATTGAACCTGTGTGCCTCAGTACCCCTGTATGAACAGGGGGGTGACTTCCTCTACCCAGCAGAGTTCTGTGAGGCCTCCATGAGGTCATGTACATCAGGTGTCAGTAAATAGTAACATCGTCTGCCAACAGGTCGGGTGTAACGTATGAGTCGCCATCTTTGTGGGTCCAAAACAGTCAGATATCGGCAGCTTCCTGATGTTCAGCCGCATATGCAAACCCAAGATGCAGCATCGCAGGACTGTATCTGTGCGCTGTGGAGTCCAGCAAATAAATGGAAGGGTTCTGGTCGTCTATTTTCAGGACAAAGCCACTCATGGCCATTCTGAACATTCTCAACCAGGATGTGTTTTAAAAGCTTTTTCTGTAGTACAGAAAATTGTATACTTCCAGCCAGTTTGTGAGGAAATAACCTGAACGGCAGCAGTTCCTCCGTTTTCCATTGTCGTTTGCGTTGCTGTGGTTTTGTTGCCGTTTGACCCCTGGAGGTGCCTTTCTCTGACGGGTCTGTATTTGTGTCTCAGGTCACGCTGCTGATTGCCTTCATCTGCGTGAGCAGCTCTCCGTGGACCTACTACAGTGCCTTCAGATACTTCGAAGTGGTCACCATTTGCAACTTCATCATGATCCTCGCCTTTTACCTGGTCCATCTCTTCCGCCTCTACCGCACGCTCACCTGCATCAGCTGGCCCCTGTCGGTAAGGGAGTGGCCTGGCCCTGTTCTCCTTGCTTGAGTCAGGATGCTCGCCGGGCACGGAGACCCCGTGGTGTCCTTCTGGTCTGCCCACCCCACCTCTCCCACCGTCCTTAGCTGCTCCAGCCCTGAATTTCCTGCTGTTTGGGGCACTGCTCTGCCTGGCGTCCCACTGCTTTCTGAAACTCACCTTCCAGCTACGAGAGCGCTCTGCCTCTCACCCCCGTGTTTGTTTTCTCCGGTGACAGACAGTGGGCTGTGTGTGTGTGCTGGGAGGAGGAACGTGGAAGGAAGAAGGTGACGTGGGTGAAGGGTATTTTTACCGTCGTGAGTGTTGAATGACAAGATGTGGCAGCTAAAATGGACTGGCAGAGTCTGAGGAAAGATGTCAAAGTTGCCAGGGTTTTTTGTTCCCACTTGATTATTTTGTAAAAATAGCTATCATTCATTCACATGCCCTACAATTACCCACTGAGAGTGTAGAACACACTGGATTTTAGCATATCCCCAGAGCTGTGCATCCATCACCGCAGTCAATTTCAGAACAGTCCGTCACCTCGGAAAGAGACTCCACATGCTTTCTCTGTCACCTTCTACCCTTCGTCCCCTCCAGCCCTGACTGGCCACTACTCTACGCTCTGTCTCTGTGAGGTTTCCCATTCCGGACATTCTGCTTAAAGGGAGCCACATGCATGGTCTCCTGTGACTGGCGTCTTTCACTCAGCAGAGTTTTCCGTGGTTTATCTTTGTTGTCGCACATGTCGGCACTTCAGTCCTTTTCACGGCCAAGTAATAGTCCATTGAACGCTATTTGTACCGCACTTTGTGTATTTATTCGCCATTTATGGACATTTGGGTTGTTTCCGCCTTATGAATAGCGCTGTTGTGAACACACAGGTGCACGCTTTTCATATAGACGTGATCCCATTTCGCTTGGGAAGACACCTAAGTGTGGAATTGCTGGGTCACGTGGTGACCGTGTTTGCTCATTTGAGGACCTGCCGGACTGCTTGACAAAGCGGTGCATCAGGTCACGCTCCGTAAGCAGCGTGCTCAGGTTGCAGTTTTCCTGCATCCTTGTCAGCACTTTTTACTTTCCACCTTTCAGATTATAGTCATGCCAGTGAGTGTAAAGTGGTATCTTGTGGTTTTGATGTGTGTTTCTCTCTGGTGATTAATAAGGCCAATCCTCTTTCATGTGGTTTTTTTTTTTTTGTCCATTTGTGTATTTTCTTTGGAGAAATATCTATCAGAGCCTTTTCCCATTCTTTGATCAGGTTGTCTTTTTATTATTGAGTAGTAAGAGTTTTGGTATAGTCTAGTTAAAAGTCCCCTGTCAGAATTATGATTTGCTGATATTTTCTCCCATTCTGCTGGTTGTTTTTCACTTTCTTGATAGTGTTTGTTAAAGCACAAGTTTTAAATTTGGATTAAATCTATATTACATGTTTTTCTTTTGTTGCTTGTGTTTTGGGTATATCTAAAAGCCATTGCCAAATTCAAGACTGTGAAGATTTACCTCTAAATTTTATTCTCAAGTTTCATTGTTTTAGCTCTTACATTTAGATGTTTGATCTATTTTGAGTCGATTTTTGCATATAGTGTGAGGTGAGGATTCAGCTTCATTTTTGGCATCTGAATATCCAGTTGGCCCATCACTATCTGTTGGGAAGACTATCCTTCCCCCATTGAATGCCTTGGCCCCCTTGTTGAAAATTACTCGGCCATAAACACATGGATTTATTTCTGGACTCAATTCCATGGTGCTGATGTTACTACACTATCTAGATTACTGTAAAACTTGTAGTAAGTTTTAAAATTAAGAAGTGTGACTGTTTCTGTTTGTTCTTTATCAGGATTGTATTGGATTTTGGCAACTTTACATGAATTTTAGAATCAGCTTTTCAGTTTCTACAATGAAGTCAGCTGAGGTTCTAATAGGAATTACAGTGAATCAATTCAGAGAGGGTTACCACCTTCACAATAATAAATCTTGTGATTCATTTGTAATGGGAGGTTTTCAATTTATTTAGATCTTTTAATACTTCCTTTAACAATGTTTTAGAGTTTTCAGAGTATAAGCACCTTAGTTTTTGATGCTATTTCCAATGTAATTATTTTCTTAATTTCTTTTTTGGATTGTTTTTTTGCAAATGGATAGAAATACCATTAATTTTTCTATGTAGATCTGATGTCCTCAACTTTGCTGAGCTCATTTATTAATCTAATAGATTGTTAGTGGATTCCTTGAGATCTGCTGTATGCGAGATTGTGCCCCCTGTGAAGAGAGACATTTTACAGTCCCTTCCGACCTGGATGTCTTTTATCTTATTTTCTTGCCTTATTGCAAGAAATTAGTTGAATGAGGAATGAAAGTGGCAAGAGTTGACATCGTTATCATTTTTTCTGATTTTAGAAGGAAAGCAGTCCATCTTCCATTGTGAAATATGATGTTAGCTGTGGCTTTTTGTAGACGCTGTTTATCAGAACGAAGAAATTACCTTCCAGTCCTACTTTGTGGAGAGTTTTTTTATCATGAAAGGGTGTTACAGGTTGTCCAATGCTTTTTCTTCATCTGTTGAGATAATCATATGAGTTTTCCCCCCTTTATAGTCTATTACAATGTTGTATTACATTGATTTTAATGTGTGGAACCAAGCATGCACTCCTGAGATAAACTGTTTGATCGTAGTGTAAAAGTCAGTTTCCATGTAGCTGGATTTGGTCTGCTAGTATTTTGCTCAGGATTTTCACATTTGCACTCATAAGAGAGATTGTTCTCTCCTGACGTCCGTGTCTCATTTTGTTATCAGGGTAATACTAGCCTCATAGAGTGATTTGGGAAGTAGTCCCTCATCTTCTTACTTTTAGAAGAGTTTGTGAAGAGTCGGTAAGCCATGTGGACTTGGACTTTTCTTGTGGATGATTTTTTTTTCATTATTAACTCAAATTCTACTTGTTTATGCACGGCCAGGCACAAATAACATCCCTTTTTATTACAAAATCATAAGCATGTCATTCTGTAACATAACAGTATCACACTCAAGCACACCGTATGCCATTTTAGGTGAAATGTTCAAATTAAAACTATAAATTATTACACCCATTCTATTAGCCCACCAACCACACTCAGGCAGGCGTTACTTCTGCCGGGCCCTGTAGACTCATTCGGATTGTCTGCTTGTGCTCGAGTCACTTTCAGTAGTCACTTCCCTGGACTATGTTCGTCTCCGCTGAGTTACCTAATTTTGGCTTGCGGTTGTTGACAGTATTCCTTTAAAATCCTTTTTATTTCTGTAAGATGAGTAGTAATGTCCCCTCTTTCATTTCCAGTGTTGGTTATCTGAGTCTTTTCTCTCTTTTTTGAGTGTTTAATTTTTTTCTTGCTCAATCTAGCCAAAGGTTTGTCTTCTGTTGATCTCTTCAAAGACACCAGCTGTTGGTTTCATTGACTTTCTCTATTGTTTTTCTGTTCTCTGTCTGGTTCGTTGCTGCTCCAGTCTTTGTTTCCTTCTTTCTACTTGCTTTAGGGTTGGTTCGCTCTTCTTTTCCAGTGTCTTAAGGTGAAGGTTAGGTTGCTGATTTGAAACCTTTCTTCTTTTGTAATATGTGCATTTACAGCTATAACTATCTCTCTGAGCACTGCTTCGGTTGCTTCCGTAATTTTGGTATGTTGTATGTTCCTTTTCATTCATCCCCAGGTTTTTTCTAATTTCCCTTGTGATTTCCTCTTTGACCCATTAATTAGTTAGGAAGGTGTTGCTTAATTTCTACAGATTTGTGAGTTTCACAAATTTCTATCTGCTATTGATTTCTAATTTATTCCATTATAGTTGGAGAACATACTTCAAATTATTTAAATCCTTCTGCATTTATTGAGGGTTGGTTTATGGTTTGGCATACGGTCTGTGCTGGTGAATGTTTTATGTGAGTTGGAGAAGAATGTATATTCTCCTTTTGTTGGATAGAATGTTTCATAGATATCTGTTGCGTCTAGTTGTTTTATGGTATTGTTTGAGTCTTCCATTTCCTTGTTGGTCTTCTCCCAAGTTGTTCTAAACACTGTTGAAAGGGGGCCATTGAAGCCTCCAACTATTATTTTTGAATTATCTATTTCTCCCTTCATTTCTTTGAGTTTTTGCTTCCTGCTTTTGTTGCTCTATTATTAGGTGCATATATGTGTATAATTGTTATAGTTTCCTGGTGTATGGACATTTTCATCATTATAAAATGTCTTTTTTATCTCTGGTAATATTTTTTTGTTTTCAAATCTATTTTGTCTGGTACAACTTAGCCGTTCTCCCTTTCTCTTGGTTGCTATTTGAATGCCATATCTTTTTCATCCTTCTACTTTCAATCTACTTATATGCTTCAATATAAAGTGTGTCTCCTACAGAAAACAAATAGTTGGATCTCTTTTCAAAACCTAGTCTGACAACCTCGGCTTCGTGACTGAATTGTCGAATCATTCACATTTACCGCTATGACCCACTATCTTATTTTAAGAGAAATTTCTTTTGGCTTCCTAAGTTGTAAGTCCCCTTTCATAGTTCTGACAACTTTTTGCTTCTTTGGAGGACAAGCTCCTCTGGGCTTCCCTGATGCTGACAGTGAACAAGCGAAGGAGAGAGTAAAAGCCAGGGGCCAGAACGAGGGTGGGCTGAAGGGGGAATAAATGTTGGAAGGGTAAATTCAGCCACACATTTTTCAGCCGAGCACAGTTTAGGCTCCTTCCATTCAGGACTCTCTCGAGTCGTCGTCCCTGTCCCGGGTCATAGTCCTCTGCCCTGGCGTGTGGGGACCTTGGAGGTGGGGAGCGTCCAGTCACCGACCTCCTCTTCGTCCGAGTGTCTGTGGGCTGCCTTGCGATGTCCTTGTCTAGCGGCTAAGGGAGAAATCAGGGTCTTTGACTGCACAGCTCTGGCAAGGCCTGCAGCTTGAAAGTGGGACGCTGTCCCACGTTTAACAGCCACCTGCCCCAATGGGCAGAACTTCACGCAGGCGTGATTTCTGCACTCTCATCAAAGACTGAAAATGGATACACTCGGGATTCAGAGTGAATGCTGTGAATGGCCCTAAACCCCATTCTGCTCTGATCTGGTATTCCCTGGGGAGGAAGAAGGATGAGGTGCAAGTATTTCCATGTCGCTGAAGGGCATCCTAATCCCGGAGAGTGCATGGGGTGGATGCAGATGGTGGGCCAAGGGGAGGAGCAAAGGCAGAGTCCATCCTGCCTGTAGACTCAGCAGCAGAGCTTGGCCTGAGGCACCTTTCCAGAGAGAGAGAGCCAGCTCCCGGCACACAGCCACGCAGGAAACATTCTCTGGAGCAGAGGTAAAAGGCACCCACCCATCTCTTCAGGGAACTTGGCTCCTGAGGGCTGGAGCTTTGTGTAAATTCTCCAGCCAGGAGTTGGGAGAAGCTTGTTTGCTTTGGGCAGCTTTGGCCAGAGATCAAGGTGGTGTCTACAAACCCATCTCAGGAATGCAGCAGCCCTTCGTGGATACGTCTGCTCACACGAGATGCCACCCTGTCCTTTTGTCCCCTTCCTCCCTGACTGCCTGGCATCTTTTCTCTCTTGCTTGGCCTTGACCTCATCCTGGCCAGCCTTACGCATTCATCGCCTGTGAGCCGCACTGCTCCTGGGGGCTGTTACACGCCCCCCGCTTCTGTTCCTCTCTCCCGACAACCGGTTGCCCCTCAGAACCAGGAGTGGACCTCCCGACCCACCGCTCTGCTCTGTTTCTGCCCCCAGGAACTTCTGCACTATTTAATCGGTACCCTGCTCCTCCTCATCGCGTCCATCGTGGCGGCCTCCAAGAGTTACAACCAGAGCGAGCTGATAGCCGCAGCGGTGAGGACCTTGTTGGGGAGTTGGGGAGCCTTCAGCAATGAATTCATGTTTTGAACGATCATTTTCTTCCTGATGGGGGCAGCCAAGCGATTGTTTTCTGGGGCCTTTCTTCTACAGAATTGGTATCCACCTTGATCCAGCCAGCTCAGTCTCCAAAGAGCCTTAAACTTGGGCCCCCAGAGGAGGGTCTCAGGAGGTGAATCATCAGGGCTGTTGGCAAACAAAAGGGCCCCAGCGGCCCCGGCCTCTCTCTTGCAGCCACTACTTAAGTCACGTGGCGAGGAGGTGTTACATCACATGCCCGTTGTGGCCATGTGCTCATGGCTGCCTCGGCCCCATACACAGAAAGATTCTGGAGCCTCCTTTGGGCTCAGGGGAACAGTGCGGGGATCAGTTAGTGATATCAGCCATTAGTCCTAACTTTGCCAAACCTCAGTCTTAGCGGTAGTCAGGCCAGGAAGTAACCCTCCTCTACCTTTCACAGGGGGAAATTGACCCCTCCGATAGCCTGAGTAGAAGAAGCATGGAAATGTGCAAAACCACGGTGCTGTGGGAGCTTTTTTAATGTATCACACATATACAAACACGTGTACACCATTGTTTTTAAAAGATTTATAGATGCCTGTCATCTGATTAGCGAATTGTTTACGGGTTGGTGGCTTGAAGGACAGCTCTGATTTGCCTCATTAAGAAGCAGGCAGGATATTTCCATGTGCTTAAGAGAAGCTGTCTGTGTGCCGGTCACTCTTTCACGCACCAGCTCTCCAGGCCCTTGGCTCAGAGTGGGGCTATGCCTGGAATTCCACCGAGGGGAGTCTGCCCTCTACCGGTCAGCGTGGGGCAGAGGTCACTCCTCTAACTGCCCTTTAAGTGCCTCCCACAACCCACCCATCCACCCACCACCTTGCACCCCTGCAAATCCCCACTTCGTCCAGTCTCCAAGGAGAGATGCGGTTACCAGCCACAGGTTACCACCTGCCTGGCTGTGGACGGCTGGTGGGGGTGGGGGGGAATGAAGAGGAAGACCTGTGCCCACTGTTTCAAGACCACATTGGGGGGTTCCCACTGGGTTTTATGATTCCAGCTGCATATAATGGTGTTGGCCCTGGAATCCCAAAAACCCCATTTACCGTGCACCATCGGGGTCCCTGGGGAAGCCAGAGAAATAAAACAATAGGGTCCTTTGCTTATGAGAAAGTGGTGATCCAACTCAGGAGTCAAGGCGAGGCACGTGAAACAATTAGCAGACAAGGCATTGTCGTCCAGAATAGCATTCTGTAGCAGCGTAATAAACTGTTCAATTATGCAGTGCAGACAGTTGGAGACCAGGATGGTATATAATGTGCTAATTGTGCAGAACAGACAATGAGAGGCCCGAACAGGCTTTAATAGGCTAATTATGTGGTGCAGACAATCAGTACAAAAGGAGCCAGGCAAAGGACCTCGGGAAGGGGAGGTAGGCGAGGGCCTGTGGGGGCAGCCACTCACTGCAAACCAGCAGGCAGGCTTGCAAAGAAAACCGAACCTTGAAAATCCTGCCCTTCGTCCTGGGCCATTCTTCCTGGATGTCACCAGTGGTTTCGGCTGGGCACTCAGGGGCAGCACAGCGACCCTGAGGCTTTTCGCAAGGCTCAGAACACCTGGGCAACACGTGGGGCAGAGTGTGCGCTCCAGAGCCACGCTCCCTGGGCTCCACTCCCAGGGCTGGCCTTGCTGTCTCTGTGGCCCTGGGCAGAACCCTTGACCTCCTGTCCCCCCGTTTCTTCAGCTGTAAAATGAGGGGCTGGGAGGGTAATACCGGGGTCCACCTGGCAGCACTGTGAGGGTTAAAGAAATTAACACACCTGAGGGCTTAGAAGACTGGTGGGTACATAGTAAGTGCTCAATAAATTTTAGCTACACAGCTGCCAGATTTGTTCACTAGTCAGGAAAATGACTCCAGACTTTGAAGTTCCACCCAGGACACCAGAGCGAGGGCCTCTTCTTCTCGGGACGCCCTGTTCCCCACCCACAGACAAGGAAGTTGGACAGGGCGAGGTCCTCACACCTGAGCACTGGGTGGGCCCCCCAGGAAGGAAAGGGGCGCTGCCTGAACTTGTTTTAGTCTCATATTATTTAACTATGTGCAAATGTAAGGCTAGAGGGCAAGGCCTCCACGCCTGGCTCTGACACAGCTATAAAGCTAGACCAGAACCATAATGCATGCAATGCAAACAGTGCTACCACACCGATTAAACCCAACTGAACATTAAAAGTTTAAAACTCAGATGAAAATGTACAACTCCTCCTTCTGTTTCATTAGCCCAGGATAAGGAAAGTACAGTGGCTTGGCCCCAGCTCAGTTGAAACATGAACTTGAACATGGGCACTGAAGTTGCCCAGAGCGGGAAGAGCCGAGGGGTGGAGACCTGGAGGCCTGGCTGCCAGGCCCGACCTGGGTCCCAGCCCGGGGACCTGGGGCCAGGGCCTCATCTCCACACCTGAGAGAGGGCGCAGAGTTTGGGTCGGGCGATTCCGAAAGCAAGCTCCCCGCCGGCCACAGTCAAGGCAGGGAGCTGGCACAGAGACGAGAGGCAGACTGCCCCAGCTGTTGGCCCTGGGTCTGGGAACTCCCTCTCTTTCCCCCCCATGCAGATCTTTGGTTTCGTGGCCACCTTCCTCTGCCTGGCGAGCGTGTGGCTGTCCTACAAGATCTCTTGTGTGACCCAGTCAGCAGGTGAGTCCTGGTCGTCTGAACACAGATGGTCTCTGACAGGTCCCTGTGCTCAGGGACAGCAGGGCAGCCTGCTCTGGAGCTTCGCAGTGGAGAGGAGTCTGCTGTGGAGGAGGCCGAGGGTGCGCAGCCGCCCAGGGGGACGGAGGGGACGCAGGGCCCTCTGCCCTCTCCTCCCCTCCCCCGTCCTGGTCCCCGCCCCCGCCCCGAAAAGCCCTAACGTTTCTGATGGGGAAGCATTTTCTTTAAATGTTTCCTAATGACAAAAATAAAATATAGAACACTTAGAAAATGCAAATAAGAAAAAAAATAGTTTAATAAAAACCATCTGTCATCACACTACCCAGAAATAAAACCTGCTGGGTGTCTTTCCTTCCAGGATTTCCTCTTGGAATGTACAGACAGATGGGGGCGGGAGGGGGGAGGGGAGAGAGACGCTGCTTTGATGAAAACGATCCGAAATGCCTGTTACTTTGTGACCCGACCTTTTTCTTCTGCTTCGCCATCTCTCAGACATCGTCCCCCGCTCTGCAGGTGCTCTTTTCTGTCGTCCTTGACGGCTCCGCGATGTCACATCGAGTCCATGGTGTGTCTGTGCCACCGTGCACTTGTCTCCTGTGGGGGGGGGGCGGCACTGTCTCTTGCTGTTGTTTTAATTCTTTGCTACTAAAAAGTGCTGGGATGAACATCCTCATAATACCTGTACCTGGTATTTTTTCTTTAGACTTTTGCTGAAAGCTCGAACCAGCTATTTTGAATAATCTGCTTTATTCTTTGATCTCGCACTTCCTCCCTTTGTTCTTTTTCTTAAACACACACACACGCACACAAATATCGCAGCATTTACACCATGCTGCGTGAGTTGCCCTGCAGAAAGGTTGTCACAGCAGAGCAAAGGTGAACAGGACAGGCACCAGTCACGAAAGACCTCGGGGGGTGGGGCTCCATTTGCAAGACCCGTGCAGAAGAGACACGTCTGCGGGGCGGAAAGGAGATAGATGAGCGCTTGCCTGGGGAGGGGGGCGGGGGGGCTGCGGGGCTGCCGGCTCACGGGTGTGGGGCTTCCTTCCGAAGCCGTGGGAGTGTTCCGAGAGGGCTGCACAGTTCTGTGAATGGAGCGAGTGTGGTAAAAGCCATGGGTGAATTCGGTAGTGTGTGAATTATATGCCAGTAAAGCTGCTTAAGAAAAAATGAATGATAAAAACAGAACGTAAAAAAAAAAAAAAAACGCTAACAGGTCATGTCCAGAGGTGGTCAGTCTGTAGATACTGGTGTAAACATGTGACTTAAACTCTTGGAGGAGCAGAAATGGAGCTCAGGTAGCTCTGGGGAGAAAGCCTTGCAGGGGGGTAGGGGTGGGCGTGGGCACCACATAGGGATGGAAATCCCCTCCACACTATTTCATTTTTTGCCTTTTTAGAAATGTATTTTAAAAAGAATAAAATAATCCCAGCGACAGTGGGTGTGGGTGGAGGAAGGCAGGGCACCAGGCCTCGCGTGGGTCAGCCGCTGGTGTGTGGCTCCAGGGGCGGTCCTCACTCTGCCTTCTCCTTCCCAAGATGCAGCCGTCTGAGGACACCACAGGCTCCGGGTCTGCAGGAGGCCCCGCGGGACGTGCAGCCCCGCAGACGGGAGGATCCATGCGCCGGCGCCCGTAGGAAAGACTTCTGAACCTGTGTCCTGTGCCAAAGTGCCGCCCGGGGCTGGGGGGCACAGGAGGAGGCCTTCACCGTTCTCCTGGGCTCCTGAGCTGCCCCCAGCCTCTCTCCGCAGCCTGAAGAGTCTCCCTCCCCGCCCCGCCCCGCCCCCCGGGGAAGGAGAAGCAGCCTCCAGGGAAACCCGGCCTCTCATCCCCCTCCTGCTTCTGAAACTGCCTCAGGAACAGTGCCTCACGCACCCCACACAGCGGGGGTTTCTGAACCCTGCATCACTCCCGCCCCTCGTCCCTGGGGGGGTGAAGCTGCCTTAAGCCTCTTTGGAGGAACGAAGCCCTTTCCTAATTTATCTGGCTTGGGAACCCGGTCTTGACGACGCCCCGATGCCCTCGTTCTCACAGCCAGGCGAGCCTGTACAGGCGCTGCGGTCAGCCTGTCCCCAAAGATGAGATCTCGGCCTCCTTTCCCGACTCTGCCTTCATAACCCGTGTGTGTGTGTGTGTCTGTGTGTGTGCGCGAGCGTGTACGTGTGTGTTTTAAATAAAATATTGATTGACCAATGGCAGAAGGATTTCTTATTAAACCAGAGGAAGGCTGTAAAACCAGGAGCCAAGTGGAGGGGCCCAGGAGGCTCGCTGGGGCCACCCACCCGCGGGAGGTGAGCCGAGTAAAGGATCCTGAAGACAGCAGCCTCTCAAGATTTGCATATTTTCAAAGTAAACTGATTTCAAGGGTGGGAGCCAGTAACATTCATGCAAGACACACAGCAGGACTCAAAGCAACTCAGGCAGCCTTTAAAAAAATGAAATTCAAGCCCTGATTCATGCAGCTCGGCTAGGTCGGTTGGTTGGGCATCTCCTGCAACGCCGCGGGCTGCTGGTCCGATTCCCGGTCAGGGCCCACGCCCGGGTTGCGGGTTTGGCCCCAGGTCAGGGCGTGTCCGTGAGGCAACTGACAGATGTTTCCCTCTCACATTGGTGTTTCCCTCTCTTTCTCCCCTGCTTTCCCTCTCTCAAATTAATAAGGTCTTTTTTTAAAAAAGGAAATGCTGCCACATGCTGCCACATGCATGAACTCGTAAGACACTGTTCAATGAATGAACGCAGACACAAAGCAACAAATGCTGTGTGATTCCCCTTACACGAGGGGCCCAGAGGTGTCAGAGGGACAGAAGGGGGTTTAACGGGGACACTTTCCATCAGGAAGGTGAACCCTCCTGGAGGTGGCCAGCGGTGGCGGCCACACATCAGTGTAAATGACATTAATGCCACCGCGCTGTGCACCTAAAAACTGTTAGCGTGGCAAGTTTCCTGTTATGTGTAATTTTACCCCAATTTTTTAAAAAAGCGATACAGGACCTCTGTCTAGGCATTGGAGTCACTGAATGGGGGAAGACAGAGACCCAGTTACACGGCGGCCAGCACCACCGTCCAACCACGACGCCTGGCAGGCCCCGGAGAGTGGAGCTGTGTGACGCTCTTGCCTTGTCCAAACCAGGCTCCCCCTGGGGCTGCCCAGCCCCGGGGCCGCGCCTGCGTGTAACCCAAACTCTCCACCCCACCCCAGCTCCCCGCCCAGGGAGGGGGCCCACCCAGCAATCCCCCCCAGGCAGGACCAGCACAGATGTGGGAGGAGGGAAGGTTGGGCCCATGGAGGGAGGGCAGGGGGTCAGGGTCTGCCCTGAGGACCAAGAGGCAGCCCTGGCTCAGTGTGGCAACCCAAGGACCCAGGAGAATGTTGTGTCACCTGAGGACAAAGCGGGTCTGCCTGCATCCTCTACCGCTAGAGGCCAGGCCCCTGGCCGGCAGAGCCTCCCCCGGCCTGGCCTAGCTGCTGGAAAGGAAGGGGGGAAGGTGGGGGCCAGTGCTCTCCCCCGCTCCTCCAGGCAAGCCTCTGCCACGGGTGTTGTCTCACCACCCACAAGGAGGGCTGCTGCTCAGAGAGGCTCTCGAGCATGGCTTTGGTGTGGTCCTCTCTCTGCAGCAGGGTGCGTGCGCCGGCGGGACTGCCCGCCCCTCCTTGCGTGGGGAAGGAAGGCCCCTGCCCTGAACATGCTGGCACTGGAGCCGAAGGCTCGTGGAGAAAGCTGAGTGCACGTGAGGTAAGTGACCGAGCTGGGATTTGAGTCCAGCTCTGGTGTCTTCTGGCCCCCAGACTGGGACACCCCCCCACCCCGGGCCACTGGGATGTTCAGGCAGGGCCGGAAGTGACTGGCTGCCTTGTGGGCAGTTGGCTGTGGTGTCTGCAGACAGGCCCAGAAGGAAACATGGGCGTGTTCCTGAGGGCCCTGGCCTGATGTGCTCCTCGTGCTGCAGCCGAGTGCTGGAGGCTTCCTTCCCAGACGTGTCTACCTGCTCAGCCCTCAGCCCGGGCCTCCAGCCAGGAGGCTAAAGCGGCCCAGAGCTGGCCCATCCCCTCCCTGGGTGCCGCCTCCCAGCCTCTTCCCTAACATGAAAAACAAACATGTGTTGCCACGGAAACAGCAGGTCTTTGGCAGCCCCCAGCAACCACTTCCCCCTGTGTGGCGGTGTCTGAACTGCCTGTTGTGAATGCAGGGGTTTGGGGGGCTCACGGGTACCTGATTTTAGGGGCAAAACATCCGTTAGCACCTAAAACCACCTAAAAGGCACACACTGCTGTCATCCACAGCCAACCCCGACACAGGGAACCTGCACAGTCTCCCTCCCCAGGGGCGGCCCTCAGCAAACGCTGCCCGTGGCCTCTCGTTGACAGAGACAAGCGTGTGAGGCCAGCTGCTGAGACACCTGCCACCCCTCCTGGGCGAGCGGGGACCTCTCGGTCCCACAGACTGAGAGACAAAGCAGCGGGCGAATCCGAGGAAGAGCCTACAGCCCAGTTGTCTACCTACTTACTGCAAACTGCACTTTTCAGACTGATCCCACTTAGGAACTGAGTTTACAATAAATGTTGGAAATTGACGATTCCTATTAATATCCTATTTCCTGTTTTATGTCACGGAGTTTTACATATGGTTTAGATTGAATTTTTCCTGCTGAAAAAAAATAATAACAACAAAAAGCTAGGAGCCCCTGACTTAGGTGAAAGGAGCTGCCAGGCCGCCTGCTGGTTGTGCACATGCGCACCTGGTGGACGGAGAGGCGACCCGCCCGGCCGGAGCAGATGCCCAAAAGGCCTTCCTCATGAAGACCACGGCGAGACCACTGGGAGCCCCCGCACCTTGTAAGGAGATTGAAGCGACTTGCGTATCACCTGGGTTTTATTGTAATGTTCCGTGTACATGGAAAATGATGCGAAATTTTTAGAAGACCATGATTAACTTGGTGTAGTTGAGAAAAAAGGAGATGGTGTGGTGTGAAGGGTGCCCTTTAGTCCGGTTCCGGATAATGACAAGAACCAGAACAGTGGGCACGCGGGGTACTGGCTGACCACCCCTGTCAAAACCCTCCCACCCAGGCAGGGGCGCCTGTGGTGCGGACAGCGGCCCGGTGTTGCCCGCTGTCCCCCGCTGTCCCCAGGTGACCATGAGAAGTGGAAATCTGGATTTTTAGGCTAAACAGGGACTGATTTTTAAAGGTTGCCAAATAAACCTTTTCAAGGTACACTCCAGGCCAAACCAAACCTCTGCGGGGAATAGATGCAACCAGTGGGCCCTCGGTTTGCGACTCCACCCGGCCTCGGGGGAGGTGGGGGTTGGGCAGCAGGAAGTCAAAGCCAAGGCGAGGAGCGCGTAGCGGCTTCGCTGGGCTGGCAGCTGCTTCCTCCTGAATCCCCCGGGCAGCGTGCGGGACGGGGGCCCTCCCTGGGGAGTCCCCGGGATCCCCTGCCAGCGGCCGCGCCTGCCAGGGCGCTGCCGGAGCTCCTAGCTGGGCGCAGCTTTCCTTTAACGAAACCAGTGGCGGCCGTGGACCCGCGCCGCGTGCCCTTCCCTAGCGGCGCGCGCCCTCTTGTGGCCAGAGGGGAGAAGCGCCGTCTTTGGTCCCTGGAGGAGGGTCGGGCTTCCGAAACGGAGTTTGCCCAATCCAGGATTCAGAATTGATGCACCAACTTGTACATTGTATTTGGACCCTCAAGTGCGCGGATGAATCATGCTTCTCGGTTCATGACACTGTCACACTCTAATCGTCGGCCCACGCAAGGTCTCCTTCCTCCATTTCTATTTTTAATAAGGCAGTCAGTATGAAGCTAGACCCATGACATCACCACCAGGTAACTGTAACCATGAGCTCCCCCATCTCCTTCACCCCTCTCTCCTCTCCAAAAATAACCTCCCGAGTCTCCTCCCATTCACCACACCTTTGCCTCTTATTACAGAGCTGTATTGTAGCTACACGTATTGCCTTCAGAGTGCAGTGTGCAACTCTGTATGCATGATAGTTGTCTATAACTAAATGAAAATAACGCCACGCTGTACGTAGTCTTTTGGGACTTTATTCACTCGCCATTGTACTGTTGAACACAGCAATTTTCAACCTTTTTAAAATCTCATTGCACACACAAGCTAATTACTAAACTTATGTAGCACACCAAAAAAATATATTTTTGCCAATCTGACCAAAAAAAAACCAGGTATAATTTTGATTCATTCATACCAAACAGCTATTGTTGGGTTGGCTGTTGTCATTTTTTTTTAATTTTACAATCCAAGGTTAAAGGGGTCGGTGTGCCTGACTAAATAGTCAGGTTAGTGCATGTTTTAAAAATTCTTGTGGCACCCTAGTTGAACATTGCTGCTGCAACAGAGGGCCCCTCCGCCGCCTTTATGCAACAGGTTACATCCTCTTGCTCTCGCTTATCGCTGGTCACCGGTGCCTTCCCGTGGCCACTGCCGGGGGACCCACTCAGCACCCACACACGTGCCACCTGCACGTGGCCGCTGGAACACCGCAATCAGTGGACACGTTTGTTCTCCCTCACTCCCTGACAGACTGTCCCAGGGCAGGTGTCAAACAGCTTCTCCAAGGGACCAAGCACACCATCACCCAGGAAGTCATCCTTCCTCCCCAGCTTCACTCCCGAGGTAGGGGGATCATCAGCTGGACATGAGGGGACATGCCTCATACATGACCAAAGTACAGCCTTGGGGGAGGGGTGAATGGATGGGGCTGGAATGAAAAGGACCTGTAGGCTCCCCAGGGGCGGGTGGAGCAGAAAGCCACTGAAGTTCTCACATGAGGTGCATTTCTGACAAAAATTAAAACCCTGGGCAATCTACTGGATGCTAGGGGGAAACGGTAGCCCAGGAAAAATCCTAGCACAGAGGCGGATATTTAGGATCAAAAGCCAGGGAGATGATAGAATAAAGGAACAGCAGAACCAGACTAGCTGGGGGCTGAGGCTGCAGAGCAGCAGATGCAAAAGCCTGGAGTGCACTCCACAGCTGCAGCGGAGCCAAGACGTAAGTCTGAGTTGATACCACTCAGACCGGGCAAGGTACAGCAGTGGGAGAAAAAGGGACAGGATATGGTATGGGGTTTGGCCTCCAGGTTCAGCCCCGCCCAGGAAGCCCTGGATATTCCTACACTTACTAGATCCTGGCTCTAGTTTTGTGGTTTTGTGTGTGTGAGAGAGAGAGGTTGTTTG